TTATTTTATTGTCAGCACTAAAAAATTATGATAAAACGATTAAAAAAGCTGCTTTCTGGCAGCGGTGCTTTAGTGTTTCTCCCAATTTGGACCACATTTCCCATAAATCTCTTTGTTTCCCACTTAAATCTGTTAGAAAACATCTTCCCCATTGAGCTTTCACTCCTTTGGCTCCATTTATTGTTAATGAACGGTAAAGCTCGGTGGTGGAGGCCGTTTATTTATCTCCACTGGTTTGTTTACAGTAATTAAACTAATGAGCTCAAATGGACGCAGTAATAGTTTTCTGATGTAAAAATGATTAATGTCGCACCTTTTTTTAATGGTTTTGGCTGATCGGCGTGTTCTGAATTAATAAAGGGGAACTCCAGTGATTTACTGGCGCTCTTCCATAAAGACAAAGCAGCCGAGGGCGGAGATATCCCGACTTTTAGCTCCCAGTTTGGATCCCACATCCCACAATAAGCAACCGATGCCACACTTCCTGTTTGTAACGCAGCGTTTCAGTTATAAAGTTGTAGTTTTTAAGCCCAGACTCACATTTTCTGAGCTCCACTGGACACACAGAAGCCGTCGAGGTCTGTCCCACGCTTGTGTGACGTATTTTATCTTTTACTTCCTTTCCTTAAAGATAATTTACATTCAGATGACTTTTATAAAACTTTACATTCAGGAGCTTAAAGTTGTAGTGAAGCAATAAAATGGAGAAAAAAGAGGACACAATGTGATTGATTGATTCTGCTTTAGTGGACTCGGTTTTAAAGCTAGAGTGAAGATACTGGTATCATATTAAACTAGATGAAGATTTCATGCTGGCATGTTGAGGCGGAGGCTAAATTATGCTCCACATTTAGGCTAAATTTTAGCGATGGAAAAACTGGCATGGTGATTTTGAAAAGGCCTCCTTGACCTCTGACCTCAAGATATCTGAATTAAAATGGGCTCTATGGTTGTTCACAAGTCTCCACTTTGCAGATATGTTCACTTTATGCTAATCACGTGCAGTTTCTGGGCAAAAAAACATAAATATTTCTGCATCTGGTCCATAAATAGTATTGAAATCACATAAATTGGGAATGACTGGAGAGCTGAGACACATAATCCAGTTAAGAAAAGTCTGAAAACACCCCTGTTGGGAAGTTTCTCCATTAGACTGAATGGTATCTGGAGGTGCCCCCTGCTGGCTGTTACAGAGAATGCAGGTTTAAGACATTTAGACCTGAAATTTATTTAACTTTACATTTACTTTTCTGCACAGAAGTGAACAAAATGCTGAGATTTAGACCTACTGTGTTTATTGTTTACATTTCGTAGCACACCTTTAAATCAAGGACCTTGTGATCTATGTGTAGGATCAGTGGACTGCCCCCTTTATCAATCCCGTTTGTTTGGTCGCAGTATAACCTCTGAATCCTCGTCCCATCGCCCTTTCTTTATGCTCGTTTCCATGAAGGTTGAAGCAAATGACAACGTCTGTATGAGCTGTTTAACATGCCGGTCTCGTTTTTTTGTTGTTGACACAGAAGATGATATTGCGCTGTGATCACCCGGCGTCAGGAGGATTTATTTCTGTTGTAAACTCTGTTTCCACAAAAGCAAACAAAGCGGGAAGTGAGACACTGCTCGTGCAGCTCACACAGGGACGTTTGTAGGTTATTTAAAGTGCAAGTTGTGCTGTTTTCTCAGCTTCACAGACAACGTTAGGCCTGATAATAGATTAAAAAAAACACATTTTGGGTCTGGGTCTTAAATTTTCATTTCTATTCTATGAAATGGTCATAAAATCAAATGATTGAAGGTTTTTCTACGTTAAAATAACATGAAATGTGTGCAGAGTGAAATCATTTAGTCTTTACTGGGTCACAAAGTATTTCCCAAGGAACTCGTCTCCATTTTCATTCTCAGTGTCACCTGTAAAAATAGCACAAACTGATGATCTGCTGCAACCTGGTAGAACAGTTTTCTTTCCTTTCATATATCGTCCTCACTGCTCGCTGCTCTTCTGTCGTGTGAAACGTCTCTTTTATTGTCTTTTAGAAAAAGGAATAAGGTAAATAAGAGTGGAAAACAATCAAAAACAAGATAAACAAAAGGAAAATACATGTAAAATATATATATATAGTTCATAATTTACAATTTATACAAAAGAGGAGAAGAATAAATCAATAAAATTAGAAAGAAACGAGCCCCGTTAGCAGTTAGATCAGTTCAAACATTCAAAATTTTCCCAAATGTATGTTTGTTTTTTGTTAAATAGTTCATATTTTTCAAGAGCAAAGTGAAAAGTCACTCACAGATTGTCGTTTTCTAACATTTAACCTCCAAGAAACAGACATCGAGTACGGACCTGACATTGTTTGAAGTTCTAAAATCATCTGGATGAATATTAAAAATACCTAATTTAGGATTAAGAACATGATCTGGGGGAATAAAACCATTAAAACCTGATGTAGGACGCAGACCGAGTGAGTGACTGTCTGTTAATGAAATAAAGTGAATGAAAACAAAAGTGTCTCTGAACTCTGAACACTGATACTCTTGTGGAAGAAACATTTAGTCTCAACGTCTTTACCGGATAGTTTTCAGGACTAAACTGTCCAAATGAAACAGCCTGTGTACACTTTAACCAATCAGACATCTGGGAATCAGTCTCATACACACATCTGTCTCTCCTGTCTCCTCCTCTCCAGTGTGGTGACCCAGTTCTTCGTGTTCCTCTACTGTAAATGTCTGTGGCGGGGCCTGAAGTTTGTCGCCAGGAAGTTCACGGGGCGCTGCGAGCTGCAGCGGATCTGCTACAACAACAAGCAAGGAGCCCGCAGGACCCATAAGATAGGTAGGGTTGCCCGCACGCTGCCCGACATTCAGTTTTTAAACTATGTTTCTAAAGCAGCTTTCCTCCATGTAATACAGCTAGACTCTACTTACTACTATGTTTTAAGGTTCAAGAGATCCCTTTTTTCTTTCATTGACTAAACTCCAGATGACATATTTTATGGATGTTTTTCATTCAGAATCAGGATTATTGCCAATAAACCTAGAAAAATAGAAATAAAGATAAAAATAAAGACAAAACAAGAGATAATATATACAAATATAAAAAGTAAAGTAAATAAAAACTGCAGGAAGTTTGTGTAAAACGACTGATTTTGATGAATTATTGAGCAGATTATTTCCTGTGAATGTTGATCTGAGATGAGTTTTCAGTAATTTTTAAGGAGCTTTTTTATACAATTCTCTGTCTGTATTATGTTTTTAATTAGTTTGTAATAATCATACAGACTTAATAGGCTTCTTTTTGGACTAATTCAGACGCTTGTTGTTATAACTGATGCTGGATGATGAGATATCGGCCTACTGTGTATATTTTTAAAGTTTTCCTTTACCCCTTAAAACCAAGAAGGCCTGTGAAGCTTTGGCGACCCCTAGTGGAGGGGCCTGACCCCCAGGTTGGGAACCACTGCTGTAGATAGTACTTTAGATAGTATCCCATCAGTGTAGGCAGAGCTGATCAGTTGGGAAACAACTAAAACAATAGACAAAAGTGCTCCAGGCTCTAAAAATCAGGACTTATAAAGAGAGATCAATAAAGAAACACTACAATAAATCAGGTAAAAACAAGAAAAACTCAATATATAAATGTTCAGATCTGCCACAAGCTACTAAATAAAACAGCTTTTAATGTTATTCTCACACTTTGCAACCTTTCATCTTCCAGAGTCGTCTCTGCGGTACTCCAAGAATGAGGTACGGGCGTCTAAATCTATGAATATGCTCAATAAATGTCCAATAAAACACAAGTGTGTCACTCAGCTTTACATTTATCCCCTTTTTGTGTTCGTCCTCCCTCCAGCTGCTGCAGTCGGCCCTCAGCGTCCACCCTGACAAAGTGGAGAAAACCATCGACGACATCATGGCCTTGAAGAGGATTAACCCTGACACCAACCCACAGTGAGACGCCTTCACATCACCTTCACTTTATCGTCACTTATTAACACCAGAGTGGCTGTGAAAGTGAATAAATAGAATAACACGTCCTCCTCCGCAATGACTTCTTAAAGCTGACAGTTTCTGATATCCGTCACACTCACAGCCCCTCTTCCTCTCTCCACGTGTCCCCAGGCTGAGCATCTCTCTCCAGGCCAGCCTGCTGCAGATTGTGGGCTACAGGAGCCTGGTGACGGAGGTGGAGAAGCTGCGCAGGGAACCGTACGACTGTGAAAACCCCGAACACGAGGACATGCTGATGAAGGTTTGAAGATAAAAAAATTATCAGAACAACAAGAATAATCATCTTTAGGATCAATAACCCCCCAAACTTAAGTTCCCTTTCACTGACTCTGACTTTTATTTCAACTGTTTATCTATTAATTAGCTTTTTCACACATTACCCATCAGTGCAGCTAATTATTCCAGCTATTAGCTATTACTTTTAGCTAACTATTTCAATTATTTATCTCTTTATTTAGAAATATATTTCAAATATTTGTGCATTAGTTGCAAATTATTTTAGCTCTTTAGTTACTTTGAGCTCGATGTTTTAACTGTAAATATAATCTATAAACTATTTAAACAGTTTAACATCATTTAACCATCTTTTTTCAGGCATTTATCCATTAGAATCACATAACTATGTTAATTGTTTATCAAACCTAAAACTATTTAAATAAATTATTTAAACTTTATTTCCACTGTTTTTATTTCAGCTAGCCTATTTAGCTAATTATTTCAACATTACGTTACTCATTAGCTATTTCAACTGTTTAACCATTAATTTATCTATTAGTCTACTTCTTTAATCAACTATTTAATTGTTTTTCCACTAATTTTAGATAACTGTTTAAACATTATGTTATCCATTAGCTGTTTTAACTGTTTATTTATTACTTCTATTTATTTTAACTGGATGATTAATTGTAGATATTTAAACTGTTTACAGATTACTTTTATTTTAGTTAATTATGTGAACTGTTTATCCATTAATTTCTAGACGTATTTAAACTGTTTATTCATTAACTTGAGCTTTTTTTTTCTCCTATTTAAACCATTTACTCTTTACTTTTATTTTAACTAAAGATTTCAACCTTGTATCCATAACTTTTACCTTTGAGTCATAAAGCTCATATGAGACACGATGTTAATTAACATTATAGTGAATATAATCAAGCATGCAGTTCTTATTCATAGTTAACACAGTTTAATCTCTCATTAAAACAGTTAATTGTATTAATCTGTGTGTGTGTTGCAGCTGTGGAAGGAGCTGCGTCCTGACACTCCTCTCACCGGACGAATCTCCAAACAGTGGTGTGAGATCGGTTTCCAGGGCAGCGACCCGAAGACTGATTTCAGAGGCATGGGCCTACTGGGCCTCCACAACCTGCTGTGAGCTCAACTTTAATGGGATTAATAAGACATATTAGTGTTTACTTCCACACACATATGATGATATATGATTGATAATCTACAGGCGACGAAGTTTCCTTTTTCTTGAAGCTTCTCTTGTCTCTCTGCAGGTATTTCGCAGAGCACGATAAGGCCACCGCTCTGCAGATGCTCCATGACTCGCTGCAACCAAAGCACAAGTACGACAGCCGTCTCTTACTAAAGCATGATAAACACTGAAGGAAAACACCAGGTGTTTCTGTAGAGAGTCTTTCTGGTTGGTTGCAAGCAAGACAGTTTATTAATTTAAACTTTCAAAAGCAGATAAACAGTCCAAAAAGGGAAAAGTATCCAGATCGAGAGGCTAAGGTTTGGGGTCAAGGTGCACAGAAGACTAAAGATTACAAGAAACACACATAAAGAATAATACTGCAACATTAACTACAATGAGATAAGACGAACAAACAGACAAAAGAGCACAAAAGGTGCTTTTTATTATGCTAACGTGTCTCCTCACTCACTTCCTTTCCTCATGTACTGTAACCTCAGTACACTTCCTACACTGTTATGATTACTTCTATCTATTTAATATTATTTACTTGTAATATTGTTATCTGCACAATAACACACCACATTACCTTTTTATTTTACACTACACTTACAAGAAAAAACACAAAAACAAACACAAAAATTTCGTCTCACCACGTAACTATAATGTATTATATTATGTGTTAGATCCTCATACAGACACAGTAGGAGCACTTTTTTACATCACGCCCACCTGATAAAAGACGTCTGCGTAGGATGTAACTGGTGTTTCTTCGCTCTCAGCTCCTCCAGATGCATTTAGGGAAATGTAGGATTCTTCATGATGGTGGAAAAACGGGGGGGGGGCGGGGGGTCCCAGGAGGAGAGAGAGGCGCGAAGAAGCAGCAAACCTAACGTCTTTTATGCCAAGCACGGCATGATGTAAAAAATGTGCTGTATTTGACTGTTTAGCCCTAAATTCAATGATTCGCTTCATTCTTACCAGTTTTATTCCTCTTGCATCTGTAACTGTCTGTATGGGGATCTAACACAATAATATTAAAAACAAAACACCAACTATACTCACCGTTTAGTTTAATATTATTCTTAAATAAGAAGTTCTGTGGACATTGTACCAGTTTAACGTCACTTAACTGGAAGAAGGATATCTCATTGTGGTAAGATTTGCTCCTCCGTCCTCACCGTCTCCTCCTCGGCTGGGTAGGGGCTGAGACGTGAGGAAAGGAAAGCGAGCCGAAGGAAAATGAGGAAGACAAGCACCTTAAATAAGACAAGAGAGTAAGAGTAATGAGATAAACCAGGGAACAGGATAGTCTTAAATACGCCAAAATAAAACCATTATGCAGCTTATAAGGCGATAAAATAACAACGTTATCCATCGGTATCTTTCTACCAAACACTTTGTGTATCCCTTTCTCTTTTTTAATGCACTCAATCATTCATAACTGCTCATTTTGCTCACTTATATTCATTCCTGCAGCTTTTTGATGTCTTTCACTGCTGCCATCTTTTACTGACTGCTGCTGCTCGTATTGTTTGTACCATCGGCGTCTCAGTGAGCCGTCCCCATTTCACAAATGAAGATTCTTCTTCTTGTTTCTCCTCCACCTCCACCTCCACCTCCACCTTTCTGCCCATGCCTCCTCCTCCCTACCACCACCCCCACCCCGCCCTCTGCTCTCTAAACCCTCACATGCACTGTAGGAGCACACACAGAAAGCCAAGGTACTTGATTTCACTTTCATTCTTTTCACTGCATTCATTAGCTTTCTCTTTTGGGTTTGATGTCTCGTGCGCTGTTGTTTGTTTCATGCATTTTAAAAGCTGCACTAAAGCATGATTTATATGTAACATGGTGAGTTATATTAGTGGTTCCCAACTGTCTGCCTTAAGGAAGCCCTTCTTTATATGTATATTTTATATTATATTCAAAACTGTACAATGAACCAAAACAGTGAACTCAGTAACTGCAGGAAGTTTGTGTAAAACCAGAGATTTGGATGAATTTTAAGCACATTATTTCCTGTTTATGGAACTTTTATACATTTAATTATACACTAATAATAAGTAAACATACCTTTAAATATTATATTACATTTCTGCCAGTAGAGCCTCCTAAATGTTACGCACTGGGGCCTTTTAAAACACTTTTAAAACATTTTTACATGGTTAATAATATATTGATGTTTGTTGTGGGATGCCACATTTGAATTAACAGGAGAAAAAACAATTGTAATAGTTTAATGGATAATTAGGACAATGTGCATATTATTTACACAAGAGATAAATCTAATCTAAAAAATATAATTAACTGAACTCAGGATCAGATTAAAACCGACTTTGACCTTCCAAAATTATAAATCCTATAGGGTTGCATCATACAGACCCAAAAATAAATGTATGTTTTATACTTTCGAACAATCTCCTTCCACAAGAAATGCATTAATTGCATTAAAATAAGACTTTAAGAACTCAGTGTTGTTTCCAAGCAGCCAGTATATGACTGAAGTGTTTGTCCTCCACAGTGAGATGAACAAGCCTGAATGGGAACAGAAGAACCTCGACAAAGCTATCGGGTAAGTGTCTGCAGGAAGGAAGAAACTGCTGCTGGAGCTGTGTGAGGTTTGGCCTCAATACAGAGCAGTTTTAGCCTCTGCGATGTGTGTGTTAATAAGGCCGGAAGTGCTTATGTGTGTGTGTGTGTGTGTGTGTCCCAGTCTGCATCAGCTCTGATAAACAGCGACTCTAAAAAGTCACACACAATCCTCTTATAGCCACACAGCGCTGTGAGGACTCTCCAGCAGAGCAGGAAGCTGTAAAAACTGCAAGTTATTGAGTCTGGAAACTGTAACAGTGTGTGTTAAGGTTAGGGTTTATATCTGTTTATATCATATATTATATCTTTATTGTGTTTGTGTTTTCCATCGCCTTCCTTCCAGCTACTCTTTCGCAATCGTGGGCATCAACATCACAGACCTGGCGTACTCTCTGCTGGTGAGTGGAGCTCTGAAGACCCACCTGTACAACGTTGCCCCAGAGATGCCCAGCCTGCTGCACTTCCAGCAGACCTTCTGTGAGTTCAGCTCATTTAAATACATATAAAAGTATATTTATATTTATAATTATTTTACAGAAACCCGGGGGACAAGTGAGAAACACATTCTTGTGATCTTAAAGACTAAATAGTTCTTTCTTGTTTTAATGACTTAAAGAAAAGTTACTTGTTTTCATCTGTAAACGAGGTAAAAAAAAGTGAAAAGAGGTTTAACAAGTAGCTAACACACAATGCATATAACTCGTGTTTAAGGAGAGAAATTAAAACTCACCTGGAAGATGAACAGGAGGTCATGGTTCACTTCAGCCTCTTGTGGCTGAAATCAGTATTACAACAACAAATACTTTTTTTTTTTTTCCCCTCCTGTTTCACAGATAAAAAAGAATTAAGATTATCCAGATTCAGCTGTTCTTGAGTCATAAACACAGAACAGAAAACAGTTCAGAGATCAAACTATGTTCAGACTGCAGGTCATCATGACCCAAATTCCCTACAGCAAACTTTTTAAAACTTTACCTGCTTGCACAAACTCTAACTTGTAACAATTTGCATACGTACAGTTAAATTAACAATGTTTAAATATGTTTGCACTCCATATCTGTATATATTCTTAATTATAGTCTTTAGTATAATTTTTACACTGCTGCTGTGTCAAACTTTTCTCCCACAGGGAATCAATAAAGGAACATCTTATCTCTTAATAAGAGTGTGAACAGTCCAAATCACATGAAATTGGATCTTTT